GAAAATATGTATTCAGAAATATGTTATTCTGTTGTAATCAGAAAGCTTAAATATAGATCTGGTTTTCTAAAATTGTTAATGGATGACATTCATTCTTTTTATTTTCATTATAAATCTAAAAAAAGAAAATATATACACTTAGGTTTTCTAAAAATGAAACAGCCAAATACCATATCAAAATTAATTGATTTGGATTTAGTATTGTGAATATTGGAATTAATTTAATTCAGTATTTTTAATAGCATGAAGAAATGGTTATATTTTCTCATTGAAATAATTCTTAATGGATGTCTTGAAAAATATTCACGTTTGATTTCTTAAAAATTATTTGTTCTTCTAAAAATTACTCGTAGTGCATCTTGCTTTCTTTTTTACCAACTTTTCAATGTATATTATCTAGATATTCATTTTTTATTCAGCTATAAAGGAAGATTTTCTAGTCAAGCATTCAAGTAATTTTTATTTTACAATTTATATGTATGAAATTCAGTTGTAAAAACTTATATAATTTTCCAATGTAATTTTGTGTTGTTATGCTTCTTTTACATTTATATTTTATCCTTATATTATATTTTTTATAATTGTGCTTTTTAGTAATATATTTCTTGTTTGTAAATTTGCTTTACTTTTATGTTTTTGTTATATTGTAATGCTTGTATGGGGACATAATTTTTTGGATGTATTCTTATCTTTGCTAATATACTGCTTATAATAAAGTGTTAGTTGGTGCTTTTACTTTATTTAATAACTGTTAAATAAAACATTTTTAACTGTTAATAACAATTGAAAATGTTTGTTCCTATAATAAATTTGTTCCTTTTAACTGAATTATAGGTATTAGTTGATGCTTTTAATGTAATCAGTATCTTTTAAATAAAGTAAACAAATAAATTAATAATAATAAAATGTTAGAAATTATCATTTTTTTAAAATGATAATTTCTATAATGATAATTTTTATAAATAACATCAATTTCATATAATGAAATTCACTTTTGGATATTGATTTATTTGTATTTTTCTTTCATCTTTTGAAATAAAGAGAGTCAAGTATTTATATTCTTGCAATATGTAGAATACTGCAAGTTTTGACATGCTGATATAACCTAGTAACATATAACTTCAAATTATTATAATGAAATGAAAATACATTTCATTACTACATTTGAACACTCATTTCGTAGTCACGATTGTTTAACCTATGTGTGCACAGTCTTAGTTTGTCATTTTTCATTGTTGCATAACAATGTGTAGTGTTTAAACACAAATTCATTTTCTTTATTCTATGCAAAGTATGATCTGCAAAGGGAGACACAATCAATTTATTGAAGGGGTAGCTTTACAATCATTCAAGAGATATATTTGTAGAGTAATGCTAGAAAGAATGGTCCTGTTTCTTGTAATACAATAATAAAGATCACATTGCAATATGGAAACAGCAAATATACTTACAGGTCTGGTATTCATCCTACATTTTAGTAGGAAAGTAGGAAATATCATGCTTTTTAACAGATTGTCGTAATTGTTCTATTTTTGTCTTTAAGTGATAATACTGGATCAACTTTTTTTCTTTTCTAAATAAAGCATGTGTAATGCATATTTTTCATTCTGCTATTCCTTTCTACATTTTTATGTGTAATGCAAGATCTTCTGAATCACAGTTCAAATTTAAAACTTTGGAAAAAACTTTTAAAGTTAAAGTTACATGTTTAATTTAAAGAAATTTAAATTAAAATTCTTTTTTATTAGTAAATCTCAACAACAGTTTTTCTAGTATTTAATCAAGTCCCAATGAAAATCACAAAGGGAAGATTTTTGCATTAGGTTTTTCTAAGCAGTTGTAGCAATTTTCCATTGAGTTAGGAGAATGTTTACTGATATTTAATTAACATTAACTCCAGGACCAATATATTCAGTAAATTTTCTGCTTCTATTTGCACTAAAGTACTTTGGTTTTCTATATACTTTTAGTTGTAATAAAAGCAGAAAATTAGCTTAGTTTATTATTGTCATTTTAATATTCAGTGAAATCCTATTTTAACATTCCTTTACTTAACTTTACCCTGATTATGTGTTAACTTTTAGTTGTTTCAACTAATACCACATGAAAACAATTTTAAATTTAGGCTTAAATTTATTGTTTATTGGTATTACATTAAACTTCAATTTTAAAGCATCAGACACCCAAAGGTAATTTTGATTTAACATTCACAAGATAGAACATACAATAGATGATTGATCCCAAATTTTGTTGTTTTTTTTTCCTTCTTTTTTTCTTTTTCTACAAAGCAAAATTTTCTCTTTACAAAATTTTTACTCTTTTAAGATCTAATCAGCAAACCCATTCCTCTTTTTATAATTTCTCTTTTCTTAATATTCAATGTTTCAAAAAAGCACAAAACAGAAACAAGTAGAAAAGACAAGATGAATGTTGGGCTGTATATTTAAAGGATCATATGCTAAAAAATTAAAAAGTATATTAACTACTTGCTTTTTACCATATGTTATAAAGTTTTTAATTTGATATTGTTAACATTTTTCATGATGTATATTGTTTTTTAAATTGTTTCACATTTACTAATAGTAAATGTTATTGATAAATGAAGGCCATGACCTATCCTGGATTATTATTCTAGTAACTAATAAAGTGATAGTCCTTTTTGTTAGGAAATTTTCACACTAAAAAAATAACTAAATAAAATTTATAACAAAGCTTTTTGAATTATGAGAAAAGTTGTTTATTCACTTACAGGTTCATCTTGGATAATGTGGAACATTGCTTTAATCAGGGCTTCGACAATGTGAGGCTTGGACAGGTCTGAACCATCCGAGCCTCACATTGAAGTATTTTTGAAAGAAAAAAAAGCTAGGAATAATTTTTTCTATGAAAAATGCAACACAAATGTATAAACAATAGAAGAAAATAAGTCCTAAGTTCAACCAGGAATGGTTGAGATCAAATTAAACATTGATTTTTATCTCTCCTGCAATCTGAGTGAAGATCTCATTACGCTTAGTAATGAATGACAAACCACTTAGAAAGTAATAATGAGGGAAAATGATCAATCAGAATAGATGATCAGGGACAGAAAATAATAAAAACTGCAAATTTCTAGAACACATCATCATCATCTCCCAAAAATTCCAAGTATAGATCCAATTGTTGTATGTCTCGTTCCTATCTTTGCTCTGTCTCACTTTCTTGAATCGATAGTTTTCCATTACTGGAAGCAACCATATTGTCCCAGAGTCATTGAAATGTTAAAGAAACTCTCACTTGCAAACTAGGGTCAAGTACTTCGTTGGGACTACCTTGGAAAAGATGGGAAATCAAGAAAATGCCACTGATCTCAAACTTCCAAGATTGCGGAAATCTTATAAGCTCCTTTCATGTCAAATAAACGGTTTGTTATAGCCATAGAGTCTGTCTCAGTGCCACTCACACCCATATACAACCTTCTCAATCCCTTGTCCATTTTGATTATCACTCCCCATATTATCAATTCCACAATAATTAGAGTTTTACTGTATATACTAAGTTAATTCTATCTTTCCTTTCCTTGTTAATCTATACTAATATTATAAAGAGGTAATGTTTGTATGTATGTTAGTTTGTATGCAGCAGGTAAACGTTCCAAGATTATATCATCTCGTAATCTATACTAATATTATAAAGAGGTAATGTTTGTATGTATGTTAGTTTGTATGCAGCAGGTAATCTCCGAAACTACTCATCCGATTTCAAAAATTCTTTCACCAATATTTAGAATGGAACTTCAGGGTGGACATAGGCTATATATTATTCCGTTAAACATGGGGGATGGACAGTTCTTTACGGTAAGCCTTACGGAAAAGGTTACCGTAAAGAACTCTGCTTCTATTTATCCCTTTTAGGTGCGGGTTTTTCCGTTTTTGATTGCGTTTTAATAGAGTACGTCAACAGAATGTACACTAAGAAGGGATTTTTCGATATTCCCCCGCGGGGGAGAGAGACAGGATTAAGGCTTACTCTGAAAAACTTGGCTTCTATTATACTATTTTAGATGCGGGTTTTTGCGTTTTTGATTGCATTTTAATAGGATATGTCAACAGAATGTACACTAAGAAGGGATTTTTCGAAAAATTTTCCCCCACTGGGGAAGTGTTATATATTTATAATAGATACATTTTGAGCCACAACAAGGCGTGGGGGGTCTGCTAGTGAGAAAATATTTCATCTAATAAATATACTGTAGATTGCTTTTGTTATAGTATTTTATTGAACATCCTCCTGTAAATGATGATTTTAGCAGATTTTTAATTTCTCCCAGTTATCCTAATTTTCTTCCAAAAAATCCTACTTTTTAAGCCATGAAGTTGGAGTAGGTGCATTACACTTACCCTGGATAAGTATCACTTCAAGTATTGTAGATTTACATCACCCACACAATATTATGGTTTTTTTTATTGCTCTCAAAGAGTTAATTTAATTTTGCTATATAATATGTTATAATAGGGTGTTTCAAATATAATGAAAAAAGACAGGTTATTTTTTCTATCTGTAATGTAAACAAGCAAACTTTATGTTAACATTAACATTAAAAAAGATTTTTTTTTTAATTGTTCTATAAGTTGTACAAAATAACAATTTAAATGTCATTTATATTGATTTAAGAAATTTATTATTTTTTCTGATATATGATAGTTAATTATAAGTTGTTTTATCTACAAAACATAAGAAATAGGCAATAATGAATGAAAATATAGTCATTTCTAAAAATATTGACAATTGTCATTTTTTGATATTTAACAATTAAATTATAATTCATTAATTTGTTATATCATGTTCCTAAATATTTTCTTCAGATAGCAAACAAATATGAAAGATCTTGTAAATGAACAGTTTTTTTCTTTTTGTTACTTGTTTTTGATGATAAAATATAATTATTAAGAGGATTTGCATTATAAGAGAATTTATATTTTATTATTCAGTCACATATAATTATTTTCACTGTATTTTAGGAAGAAGATACATTTACAGCATTATCTCATTCAAATTTTCATAAAGTTCATTTACTTCCAAAAGAATGCAGTTCAGTTCAGTTGATGACTTTCACACCAATGGGAAAGTTCTTAGTGATGATCACACCTTTGCAGAATCTGCAAGTTATCAAAGTGGATTTGATTCAGCCAACATTAATTCATAACATATCAAAGCCAAATGGTTGGTATTTTATGTGTTTTACAAATAAAAATATGTAAATTATTTGTTAAATATACTAATTGATTTATTATTAATATATTTTAATGTCTTAAATATTTATATTACATAATATTACATTAAGAACATTATGTAACATTCAGGAATGTTAATCGAATCACTTTTTTTTCACAGAAAACAAATATAGATATACGCACCTATCTGTGAGTAGGGATGGTTCTTACATTGCTTGTGCAGATAATGGTGGAAATGTCATTGTATATAATTTTTCTACAGGCAAGGTAGGGAAAATTGAAGTAAGGGCATAACTTGTCTTTTAAAAAGTTTAAAATATAATTTACTTTAAATTATAAATTATGTATTCCCAGAGGAAAAAAATTTTATATAACACTCTCCTAAGTAGTGCCAAAGATTATTGTGAATGAATCTTACCCTGTAAATATTTAATAGAACACCCTTCAGTGTATGTGAATTACTAAATGTATATGATTTTGTATTGTGAACAACATTGTTATTATTAAATTATTTGGCTTCCAAACTGAGGATTAAGCTGTTCTGTATATAATCCTGTTGTTTGAAATACTTGTAATTTGTTCACTTTTTAAAGGTGAACAAATTACAATTTTTGAGAAGGGAAAGGAAAAAAAATTATGAATGATGTTTATCTTTAGACATTTATGAACTGAGATTTAGCTTAGTTTCAAGTTTAAGCAATAAAAACTTAGAACTAGAAACTAAAATAAAAACTTAGAACTAGAAATTAAAACTTAAAACTCTCCAAAACATATCTTTTCAGATATGTTTTGGAGAGTTTTTCAATGCCATTTAAAACATTTTTCATCTTTTTCTTGAGTCACAAGGCTACAGATTCCTTTTTAACTACAGTGGAACCTTGCTTAATGAGCATAATTCGTTCCAGAATCTTACTCGTAATGCAAAACACTCATTAAGTGAAACAATTTTTCCCATATAGATTAATGTAAAATATGATACTGTAATGTATTCCATACTGAAAAAATACTCAAATATTTTATGTATAATGTTTATTTAAAGAAAATTATACAATGTACATTGTTAAGGAGTGTGAATCATCATCATTGTTTCTTCTAGCGTGGAATGAACCAACCTGGAATGTGAATTCGATTTGCAGAAAACCAAACAAAAAATCAAAATTTAATTTGGATTGGTCATTAAATTTAATACGAGAAGGCAGCATAAATGCCTAACTCTAGTCAAATTATTTAATTTCTAATATTTAATTATAGCCTTTACATAGCCCAAGAATTTGTCATATCATTTGGCGTGTTTATTATATAACGAGCTATAGTTGTTGTTGTTTATATGTAATATGTCTGATCACAAGTTTGAAAAAATGTGTGATCACAAGTGACACTAAGATACTAGTGGAACAGGTGCTAAACAGAGATGATGTAGCATGCACACAATCTGGGACTTTGCCTCTTCTTGTCACTTGTTATGCGAAATATCGCTCATTAAGTGAGTCATTTTTACACTTTTTTTTGCTCGTTATGCAAGGTTCCACTGTACTATCAGCATACAGCAATAATCACTATTGACTTAGAGGTGCCTTTGATCACACCTGGTGACCTTCTATCTTGCACACATTACACACTCATCACTGCCCTCAAAATCTTTACAAACTTTTTCATTCCTATCTTAGCAACAGGAGTGCAGGTGTTTATACAACACAAAATAACATAATCATACCCATCACTTGGGGCCTCAGGGATCCAGGTCTGGTCCTGGTCTCTGGAACATAGCCTATAACTCTATCCTGCACTTAAATGACACCCTGCGTTGTATGGAAACACAACGCAGGGTGTCATTTAATTGCCACTTTTGTGTTGCCACATACAGGGCTATGTGGACAACACAATTATCCTAGCTTCACACAGGAACAGTGAACACTTACAGGGCATATGCAATGACATTCTCGATAACATTCACAAGTGGAGTATTAAGCATAGGCAATCTGTTAACACAGACAAATGTGAAAGCATGATAATTGGTATGAACGCACCACTCGTCAGGAAGCTTACTCTTCGAATAGGTGCTCACAGAATAAAGCAAACAATGGAAATTAAATATTTAGGTGTTATTCTTGATGAGAGACTTAACTTCACACCCCACATCAAATGCATCACAGACAAAGCTAAATTGATGGCCAGCACTCTCATTAGTATTGCTAGGAACATGTGGGGCCTTGGCCCTACTGCTACTAAGCTTATTTACAGGGGTGCAATTCAGCCAGCACTCCTCTATGCCGTACAGGTCTGGGGCCACATGGCCGCCAAAGTCTATAACTATAAAAAACTGTTATCTGTTCAAAGGATTGCAGCTCTCCGCATTTGTAAGGCTTATAGGACTGTACCCACTAGTGCTCTTTTGGTAATGTCAGGATTGACCCCTATCAACTTAGAAATTAAACACATTATTTGTTAGGAAAATCTTGTCACCTTACCCTGGTGAGATTATAGTGACTCAGATGTCAACAAAATGATTTAGAGTAGGTAAGATTCCCCCCCCCCCATTTGACCTTGATTGATGATATCAAAAAATTCAGCATCGACAAAAATACCCTCCTGACTTACAATTACCACCCCTCCCACCAGCTTGTCCTTGACGTTTACTTCAAAGATCCAGGTGATCATCCCATATTTAGGATTTACACTGATAGTTTCAAGATGGGTGTTGATGTGGATGCTGCTTTTGTATTTTACTCCAACTTAGGCTGCGAGCTTCACAATGCTTGCTTCCAACCAGGTACTGTACACACTGCTCAATAGCACAGGCAGAAACTAGCTATTTATATGAGCTTAATTCACGTTAAGCGTAGGAAGGACAAAAGACACTACTTACACTATCACATTTATTCTGACAGTAGGATTTACACAGGATTGCAAAGTCTGACAGCTGCTTAAAACTCATCCATCTCATACACCACATTCTCAGACGCTTAGACAACAACATTAGAATAGATTTCCAATGGGTCCTGGGTCATGTGGTGTTCTCAGCAACGAGACCACTGACCGTGTTGCCAAACAAGCTGCAAAGTCTTCAGTCACAAGTACTTTCAGTTATATTCTTATCTCAAACATCAACAATTACGTCAAGAACAAATCTTCATTATCTGGCAAGACAGCTGGGACTATGACACCACTGGTAGGCTCACCATTGGTTGGTTCATCCCCAAAGTTGACACTACTGCGATTTTCTGCCACTTTTATCCTAGTTACACCCTGACTCAGCTACTTACAGGACATGGCAACTTTAAGCAATACTTGCATAGATTTAACCTTGGGGACAATGGGGAATTCAGTTTTAATTTATATTAATTAATTAATTTTGATTTTAATTTTAGTTCAGTTTAAGTGTGAAGGCCAGAGTTTTAATAATTATTTTATTATTTTTAGTTTTAATTAATAACTGGCTACCTAATATTAATAAATATTAATATTATANGAATAAATTTTAAATTTAAACTTTTAACATACTTTTAAAAATCTTTACAATAAACTGTAAACTATTAAATACTTAACTAAAAAAATTTTTTAACATACTATATATATATATATATAAAAATGGATGTGTGTGTCCCTATATTTCACTTTTCAGCCAAAACTACACATCACACATGAATGATGTTTGTGTGTGGTAGTAGCCCCAAGTCTCCATTTGTGCACTATGGTGGTTGCGTCTCGATAGCTAGAAGGGTGTGGGAGATATGGGGGCTTAAAGTGGTTGACTTCGAAGATTTTCTATTTCAATTTTAAAAATGTTCGAACCATTTTAAATTCGAATTGGTTCGATTATAGAACGATTGTAAACGTTCCAGAAAATTGATCAAATTGAAAATAGTTCGTTTGACTGAGTGTAAAAATTCTCTAATTAGTCTGGAAACGGGGGACCTAATTCTTGCATATGGAGTTGAAAGTGGTTGACTTTGAAGATGTGTAACAATGGAAGTGTTAATATAAAGCGGCATGCAAGATTTACAGGCGGTTTTTTGCGTTTTTGCGGGAAATTGAACATATTTTTAGACTCATGTAAAAATTCTCTAATTAGTCTGGAAACAGGGGACCTAATTCTTGCATTCTGTGAAAACGGGTAAGATTGGCTATAATGTAATTATCTTAATCTTCACTATTGTTACTTTTGCCCAGTGAAGCGGGTCCTTGCAGCTAGATTCTAGATTACTTAGAAAAGCAATCTTTTATATATATAAAAAACTATATTACATACAAATAAAAACCCAGCGAAGCGGGTCCTTGCAGCTAGTAATAAATATAAAATTAATATAACAAAAAATATACATTAAACTAGTAAAATATATGTATAGTTTTTGTTATATTAATTTTATATTTATTATATAGTATGTTAAAAAATTTTTTTAGTTAAGTATTTAATAGTTTACAGTTTATTGTAAAGATTTTTAAAAATATGTTAAAAGTTTAAATTTAAAATTTATTTGAATGTTTGTATTCGATTGTAGAACAGTAATGTCTTAAGAATGGCCTATTAGAAGTAGGCTGAAAACGTTTGAACAGTAAGTTAATAATAAGCTCAGCAAATTGTTTGGTGTTTGATTATATTTGTAAGTAAACTGCTGAGGAAGTGAGAGTAGTTGAGTTAAGCACTTTTAAACACAGATTTGTGAATGTCAATTAATGCAGTTTTTATTAATTCATTTGATTTAAATTCAATTGCAATGTGTACCAAAAAACAATAGTAGAATCTTACCCATATGTGCATTGAAATCTAATTTGAATAACAACAATATCAATTGTTCCTGCTGTGATGTGAGGCAATCTTGGACGAATCAATGACAGTACTACTGATTTATAAGTAGGATTGGTAATCCTATCTTTGATTGGTTGGGCTGTCAATTTTCTTTAACATAGGAAGTATATGGAGTTGACCATCTGTGTTCCTAATCTGTGGCTGGCTCTTGCTCAGTAACTCGTTCAGCGACTGAGTTATTGTATGGTAACCAGGACAAATATTGCATTCAAAATTTTGTTTGAAAGGCAAGGTGTTTGAAACTCAAGATTTGACTGTATATATTTTAACATCATTATTATGCACTTATGTATTAAATGTAGAATGATCATATTAATAATTAAACAGAGATTACTCAGAGTGATATAGAAAAGAATCTAGTCAACAGATAACAGAGAAAGTTGATTTACCGTAATAAGAACATGAGAGAGAAGATTTGCAAATAAAAATAAATTAGTTGTCATGCCACTAGGTGGTATTAGTGCACTAAAACACA